ATTTACTATTTCTATGACTATGGAATATTTAATTAGCACTCCCTGTTTTTACAAGTTCTATATCGAGGAAAGTTCTGAGTAAAAAACTTTCAATGTTTCAATGTTATAAGAAAATAAAGATTTGTGGTAATTTTATTTGATACTCATCAAAAAAGTATAGTATTTTACTTGCACATATGGTTATTAAATCGGATGTTGGATGATTACCCATAACGACAGACAAAATTACTTTGAACCATTGGCTACATGAAAATTCTAACGACAGAGAACTTCGGTTTTTTATCAATACATATATTTTTCTTTCGATACTTTAGAATCACAATTAATGATATTCTTGACTTTATATTATAGTAATCCCCTCGTATTATATGAGCCAGATTATAAATTTCAAGAATCATCTATTTTATATGGTGCCTATTAATAACTTTTGATATTTTCAGGTAGTCGAAGACGATTTTCGTTAGAGAAGATAAGGTAATATGAAACAGTGTTAAAATATAGTACCTATAAGCAATCCTACAAGATAATTATTTAAACACGATATATAAAACGCAATCCGTCCCTGTCGGATACCAAGAATTTAAAGAAGCAACCATTTTCAAATACTGCATAGATTCGCAAAAGGGCTAACATAGAGCACAAACTAAAAAACATCCAACCATATTATTAAACGTAACATGACTTAACAAAGATAGGAAAGAATAGTACCATCTTTTATCTCCCTCGTATCACAATGTCTTTCACTCACATGCAGTGCAAGCGAAATAATTTCAATTTAGGTTCTACGGCTTACACAAAAAATTTGTCTCAATAACTGAAAACTGAAGCTGCAGTATTACTAATAATACTATTTGATTAATGTCAAGTGTTATAGCGTGTTAAAAGTTTAGGTACGAGTATATATAGAGAATAAATATTTTTTCTAATTTTGACATATAAACTGATATTTTTTGGAAGTGTCAAAATGATATCTATGCAACCAGTTGCATAATGTTAAACATTATAAAACTGGTTTCGAAAAATTCATTACGTCACCAGTTTCAAAAAGAAAACAAATAAAAATAGACTTTGTTTCGTTTTAAAATCAATAATTTACATTATTGTTAAAAGTTTATATCGAATGAGGGCAGGTTGACTTATAAAAATAGAATTTGGTTAAACTTACAACCTAGTGATAATGTTGTTTCGGTTCGTATTTTCCAGTCCAAATCAGTACAAAATAATTAAAACACAATACAAGACAAAATAACCCACTTTTTGAAAACTAAATAATTTTAATAAACAATAGAAACACACTGCAAGACATAAATAATTATTAATGATGTTTTTATTGTCAATACAATTACACAACTAACAATACAAGAAAATAATATTGGTTGCCTAAATGTCAGTAATGTTTAACCAAAACACAATTTTAGTCAAATGTTAGTCAAAATTGGAAAAAATATGGTATGTAATACGTTACGAAATGCCGTTTTATGTAACTCGATTATGTTGCGAGACCTCGCTCTGCTCGTCCCTCAAATATTTACTCGTTACATAAAATAAGGCATTTCGAAACTGGTTTCATAAATAGCTATTATTATTAACATTTATTTAGAATCTTCGAAATATTAAATATGACAAAATGGTAAATATGACAAATTAGTAAATATGAATAGTAATATCACAAAATGATAAATATATAACAAAATGACAAATATATATGACAAACTAATATTATAAGTCACAACAACAATATTTATTAAATACGTAGAAAATAAACATAGTCACTGAAGTAGTTAGATTGTAATGCTTGTGTTTGGCTAATTCAATATATTTAACACATATAAAAATTAAAATGCGAATTACGCTAAGTATCAGTATTCCTTTATACATATATTTGAGTTATAATTTTTGTTTTAAATATTTTAAATTTATTAGATTAGTTGAGATATCATAGTAATTTGTTGCATTCAGTATATTGTTCGGAAGCAGCGTCCTTCGTGTCTGCATTGTCCAGTTGTGAAAAAGAAGGAAAGTTCTCACACTACGCCAGGTCTACAAAACTATAAATAGGATTTATCCTGAATTTCATATATACAGGGTGAAATCAATAATGATATTATTATATCGCAGCCACACGAAGCCTTGGCAGATGCAGGAGTAAGGGGTAGTGCTTTTGAGCTTTTTAAAAGTTATCTGTTGAATAGAAAGCAATGCGTACAAATAGAAGAACACATGAGTAGTGTAAAGAATGTAAAATGCGGGATACCCCAAGGCACAGTACTTGGCCCAATTCTGTTTAATATATATATATATATTAATGATTTATTATCATTAAATAATAAGGGCCAGGTACTTAGCTTTGCCGATGATACCGTGGTTTTCTATTCGGCAGATACGTGGAAGGACTTAAAGGTATTAGTTGAGGATGACTTAAAACTCCTTTTTAATTGGTTTGATCATAGGCTTCTTACTGTTAATTATAATAAAACACACTTTTTATCTCTAACAAGTTACGAAAACAATCTTCCTAACTATAATACTCTAAACATAATATATAATAGCAAAAATATTGAAATTAAATCAGAAAAAAAAGTTAAGTATTTGGGTATCACAATTGATTGTCACCTAAGGTGGAATCATCATATAAATAAGGTAGTTAATACATTAAGAACATTTCTATATAAATTTAAATATCTTACAAATATCCTGGATTTACCTTACCTAAAAATGTTATATTATGCTTTGGTGGAATCGATAATAAACTATGGAATCATTGGCTGGGGTGGAGCAACTAATGTTTATCTAGAAAAAATTGAAACTATTCAAAAATTATTCTTAAAAATTATTTATAAAAAAAATCGTACTTACCCCTCGGACCAACTATACAAAGAATTAAAAATATTAGATCCTAAAAAACACTTTTTCCTTAAAATTGCCAACTACTACTATAAAAACCCAACTAGCCTTAATATTGTTACTCATGAACACGAAACAAGACGAAAAAACAAAATTAAATATAAAGACTTAGCATCTCGCAAAACTGTAGGCCAAAAATGCCACTTCTTCTTAGCATCAAAAGTGTTAAATTATTTACCTCCAAAAATTCTAAAATCAAAATCATTATCGCAATTTAAAACAAGAACAAAAAAATTTTTATTAGAAGAATATAGAGCAAATATCAGAAATATTATTGATATGAATATCGATAGATAAATGAAAAATAAAAAAAGAATAAAAAAAAATTTATTAAAAAAAAAAAAAATAAATAAAATAAAAAATAAAAAATAATGAAAATTAAAAAAAAAAAAGCGGCAAATTTCTCTATTATTATTATTATATGTCAGTATTTGTATTATATTAATTAATTGTAAAATAAAACATAAAATAGTACTTAACATATCTCTACACACGCCACGGAAAGTTTTTATACTTTGTGGCAATGAGTAGTTTATTTGTATGTACCTAAAAAAAAAAAAAAAATATTTATATTATTAAAAAAAAAAAAAATGTATTTAAAAAAAAAAAAATTATTATATTTAATTTTTTGTACATTTTTCAAATAAACTTTTATTATTATTATTATTATATACGAGTACAAAATTGATTGTTTTATTTGGTAAAATTTTACATTAATTCGTCGTGAAAAGTTGAAAAACACGAAAACTGAGTTACTATTGCATCATCGTAAGAAGAAGACATTTCAGGCTTCAAGAAATCTATCATCATAAACACAAATAGAGTCCATACATAACTAGCTGAAGGCTAACCGATAAGGAAATATTTATACCAGAAGATAAGTATTTTGAACAAGATCCCTCGCGGACAAAACAGACCTTGAACAACTTTTTCCTCAGCCATTAACATTCAAATATTTTTTCTTACTACCATTTAGGGAAGTGACACCTATCGCACTATTTAGTCTCATGGGAAGTGTCCTATATTACATGCGTGTGTATAAATCTACTTTCCACCCGTATCTCTGTATCTGTAACGTATGGAAGGTGGGCTAGCCAACGGCACTTAGGCCTCCCTAGGCCCATTGTGCAACCTCTTAAGATGGTAGGCACCTCCTAGCTCTTGAGCCAGCATACATATTTAATGTAGATGACAACGTCGCCAAGAGGTACTTTCCACCCGTGTGTAAATATGAATTGACTTGCCGCATATGCTGTCAAATATGTCAGACGTCCAATTTCTATTTTAATGTAATATCCATTTTAATAGTAAATTATATTTGATGATTAAATTGTTAAACATTAATTTTTAAATATGGATCTTAGATGTTTCTTTTTATGAAACAATTAAAAGAATTTTAAAGTAACTACTTACCTTATTTTTGCTTTTTCCTAGTTCATTTTACATATTGATAGCGTAGATCGTATAGTGTCTAGCTTTTTCAACTTGGCATTTCGCGATCATTTCGCGAGGCTGGTTCAATTCCCGATGAATTATTTTTTTAAATTTTGTTTTTACTTTGAAAAAATAGGAAAATTGGAAAAATACGACTATTGTTGTTTATTTATTTAAAATAATACATGTTATTTATCATAATATAGACCCTACAATATTCTTTTGACTATTTATTTTGTACTATTTAAATTACTGCCAAGAAAAAAATTGTGAGTAGAGAAGTGGGTAAACATTAATAATAAAAAAGTTTATGTTTCTTTGTTGTTTAACTCATTTGTAAAAAAAAATATACTAATGAAAAACATTAATGTATTCTAATATTTTTAAAAATGATTCAATAAGGCATATAAAAAAAACAAATCTAAAACCAGCCAGATTTTTTGATAAAATTATTTTGTGGTCCTAGGAAAAATATTGTATATCACATGTGTGAAAGTAATTTTTCTTACTAGCGTGATTGTCGCACTCGGCTTATGCCTCGGCGAGAATATTTCCCACTCTTGTGAAAAATGACACTTTCCACATTCGTAATGTGATATACTATATTTATATCTTAATTCAAGCTTGTTATACATTTACGTTAAATAAAAAAAAAATGTTACCTTGCACAACGCCGTTTTATATTTTATTCTTTTTCTAGTACTCTTCGGACTTATTTTTGCGGCAAATCGCGAGGCAGTGGACGCAGTCTTAAATCCGAATCTGTTCGTTTTTCTGTATTCGACACCCGGACTTCTATCCGAACTGTTTCCGGAATGTGGATTATTGTCGTCGTCGTGTACTTGTAAACTTCCGTTATGATTGAAAGCCTTTTTCGCTTCTTTAGATTCGTCAATCATCCGCTCCACTGAAGCGAAATATTTCGTCCACCTGCAAAAATCGTTCCCGGATTAAAATCTGTTGAACATTTATTTTAGTGCATTGAAGCATATACATAATTTCAAAAGAAACCGCAACCGACCGTACACTAAATTAAGCACATTGACACAGAAACCACTTTTTTAAAAATGACTAAAAATAAATTGTATAGGAGAAGCAAATAAAAAAGTCCTTCGAATTTAATAATTATAGGTATTTTTTCAAATTAATGTGATGGTTTTTGAAGTTTACTTCATCATCTGGCACATAATATTCTATTTCCACTAGGGATACTACAAAAGTACAATATTACGATAAAAAAGAGGGGGAAGGAGAACATTATTTAAATTTAAATACTGGAAAGAGATAAGGGTTAATTGCTGGTTCAATGTTTCCTTCTTTCTGAATAATTACCTTTGATATAACACACCGTCTTATTCTGGTTTTGTAGTTCTGATGAATTTCTAGTTAACTATGTGTAAATAAGTTTCTCAAGACGTTAATTTGGCCATGCGAAAGGTACATAAGGGATGTGGTGATTACAAGAACACCACTACACCAAAATCAACATGCATACACCCCAGGGGGTCGATTCTCGACTCGTAGGAATTTTTTCCTATAGGAATTTTTGACATTTGTCTATACATCGGGAATGTATGACATTTTCCTACATATAGCAAAGTGTCATAAATTCCTATAGGAAAAGGTTCCTTTAAGTCGAGAATCGATCCCCAGGCAGATCTATTGATTTAGCCCTTCACCTACATGCTGGCCGGATAGAGAGATTACTGGACATTAAAGAGTCCGCCTTGCGCGTTTTCACAGACATAGAAGGTGCTTTTGATAAGAAAACTAAACATATGGTTAGTGGGTGCATACACAACATGCTCTCAAAGCGAGCAGTAAACATAAGTGTAGAAGATGTGAAAGGTGGCTCTAAAAATCGCTAGTGCATACCACACAGTATCCCTGCAAGAATTGCAAGTGATCTCTGGGGCAATACCGATACATACAGGCCGACGAAAGGAGAAGAGTGTACAACAGGAGAAATATGCATCTAACCAAGGTCAGAAATAAAGAAAGACAGGTAAGCCTCTAGAAGTGATAGAGGGCCAGGTATTAACGGGTCATAGATCGTTTAAGACCTACACAAATAGAACTGGGAAGACACAGAATGAGGATTGTCTGTTCTGCCGATAAATTAATACAACAAAATACACTAAGCATACCAGCATACCGACAGGAGACCAGCTTCCAAATAGAAGATGTTAATATTATCCAAAATATTATTGGGATCATTACGAGTGACAACAATGCGTGGCGTTCGGTAAGCAAATTGGCCGAAAAATAATGCCTGATAAGGAAAAAAATGAAAGGCAAGAATAGTAATGGATAAATCCTGCATCCTGAAAAAATGTTGAAAGACGTTACCGTGGTGCTTGGGTGAGGGGTGGTTTTAGTGGCTAACCAGAATTTGCTCAACAGAGTCTGGAATCCCACAATATTCTAATGTACATCAAGGAATAAAAGTAGAAGTTTTAGATTTATAAAATACTATTATTTTCATTTTTCACTTATAATGAAAAATAACTGGTTTCATAGTTGAATTGGTCATTTGAGAAACACTATAAGTCAGAAAAGTAAAAGTTTGGGAAATTAAAAAAAAATTCCTTAAATCGTCTGTGTGTGAGACAAAGCATTGATTTTTTTTTCTAAAATTGCGAAATTAATTTCCTATTTGATAGTACCAAAACAACTTGTCCTTTTTTTTTCTAAAGAGACCAAAATTTTTTTTTGAAAATCAAGGCTTATTGGGTTTCTCAAATATACGGATATTATTTTAATTTATTTAGACAATAAAACTACATATTTTAATGAAATATTATGTTTAACAATATTTGTATTTAATTTAAAATATCTAAAACCTTATCTGTATCAACAGTTGGCCAGTTTCTGTTATTAGGAATTTTTCCAACATAAGCTTTTTTGTCAGGATGAGTCAAAGGTTCTGTTGATATATTTTGAAATGTATCACAAGTCAGTCCATCTATAGAAGATTTTGTCACAAGAACTTTTCATTTTCAAAAAAATGTTTAAGATGCACATACTGACTTATTTTAAGTGATATCTTTTTATCTTGTGATTATTGCTTGTTGAATAAAATTCAACATTGCGCTAAGCTTTCATTCTCAATTATTTATTATTCCTGGAGACGTCTCTGCAAGCCGCACTGCCTTTTACTCCTGGACACGTCTCTGCAGCACTGCTTTGGCCGATAATAACGGTCTTCCATCTAATAGCTATTTCACATGCGTCATTCACTTCTTGTCTACTTCTCATTGGTCATCCATACCCAGCAATGGCCCTCATTGGTTAGGCGTTAGACACTTCCTAATTGATCAATGTCAAGCATCACTAGCTGAACAACTTTTCTCCCAGCAGAGCTTCAGGACCTCTTAATCACAATACATCCTTCTGCGATGTACAAGAGTGCTTAAGTAACAAATTTCCGAAAAAAAGTCTGTATATAGTGTAAAAAGTATGTAGTTTGTAAATGAACCAAGTAATAAAATAACATAGTTTCAATAATGTTTTAAAATAAAGTAATTTTTTCACCCAAGCACTAATCCTTCCATTCCTACGGATCGCCCAGGTATTTCCAACATGATTTTGGTCAATCTGCGACAGCTGATTGTATTAGCTCGTGTACCGCGTGTATTAGAAAAACACCATTAGTCAGCGACTTATGGGGTTTTAAAGTAAAGTAGATTTTAACGTTTGAAAATTTAATACAAGAAGTGCTACGACTAATGGGATTTCTCGTTGAAATATGAATCGAAGTGTTAGCAATAAGAATCTGCCATTTTTGGAATATGTCAAATTTGTGACTTATGGGTTTTATTAAATGACCCATTAAGTTAACAAGTATGGTCATCATATAGTAAAACTAGTACCCCTGTTCTGGTGCATAAAATAAGCTCTTCAAGAAATGCATTACATTTTAAAAATATTGATATTTAAAGCATTTAAATTACACCGTTAATTCTAAAAATAAATAGGGTTCTTACAAGAAATTAGCAATGACAATCAAAACCACAAGTCGATCTGTACTTTCGTTATAGAGTTATCGTGTCGGCGCACATAGGCAACAGACAATTTTTTTAGCATTTTCGGATTTACCTCTAACAGTCTTGTCATGTAAACATGAATAATTATTTAGCCTTGCAATTTTAAATTGTAGATATCAATAATGGCTTATAAAAATAATACATATGTATAAAATGAAAAAATAATAACTAAAATAAATTAGGTACCTAACCAGTACCATCATCAATTTAGCAATACAATTATTTCACAACTAATACCTGAACTTTTTATTACGTCGAAAATACCTATATGATTACGAGATTTGGTCTATTTAGACTGAGAATATTAACTTACCAATCTTTGCTGTCTTCTTCATCGTCAATTTCTTCTTCAAAACTTTGTTTCCTCTTTTTATTCATATCCGACTTCATCTTTTTCGTGCCTTCTTGGGTACCGTAACCTAGAGGACATTACAAATAATATCAATTAGATGAATATTTAATCAATATTCTGCATGAAGCTAAAGCATTTTGCTTTTTATAAAAAAACGATAATTCAAAAAAGTAGACTTATAATCTTTAGAAAGAAAACAAAAAACTTATTTAATCTTAAAAATTATTAAATATAAATAATAAAGAAAAAATCAAACCTATTTGAATAGATATGTCCTTTGGCAATAAAGGACTTTTCTCCTTATCGTTATGGGAATTTGCCATATTAGTAGGAGACAACTGGGCACATCCTCCTCCAGTACATTCCCCAGTTTTCAATTGATTCAAGGACTTTTTGCGTTCTTCGGCTTCCCTATCCTTTTTGGTCATAGGTTTGTAGATATATTTTTGAATGGAGTTGATTATGTGTGTTCCTACTAAGGTATATCGCCCAAAACTTCGACAATCTACAGCTCGTATTGTCACGGGTGGTCTAAAATTTAGAAAAAGTACTAGAGAGATCATTTTGTGGAGTAATATAATTATTAAAAGTTAAAAATATTAAACATTTTATTTCTAAGACAGATCCATATTGGGCGATAGTTTAAAAACTTACAATGGCTATACTCAGTAACTAAATATGATATCAGAAAATGTCTTAAACTGTTTCTAGGGTTTGAAGGGGGAATTATAATAACAAAATACGGAACTCACCTCCATCAACCCCCTATGTACCACCAACTTTAACATAAAAAAAATAATAGCACCCCCTACTTGTCATACTCATTAGAAACGCATCTTGTCCAGTCTCTTCGATTATACCGGGTGTCCGCGCAAAAACTTTAAATGGAATTATTTCTGGTGTTTTAAAATATATCGACTTGAAATTTTGGAAGGTCATTAAGGAAGTAGGGGGTAAATGAATAGTGTATAAGATACCACTCCAACGTGATATCTGCCGCCCCCAGCCACCCCCGGTTCAAAAGTTTAAATGACACCCTGTATTTTTTTTACATATTCTGAAAGAGCGTAGTTTTTTTAGTATCTCTATGTGAAAAAATTACTTAATTACATAATGAACTTTGAAAGATATTTACAGCTAAAGGTTCAGATACCAGATATTCAAATATCGAAAGCAAAAAATAATAGCAAGCCATGAAAGCTGCTTCGTTGCTTGAACTGTCAAATAATATTGTTTGTGACACTTCTGTTTACTCGTTAGTACAAAAGTTTTCGAAAAAATTTGACTTAGTTTAAATTAAATAGCTAAAAAAATAGAAAAATGGTTTACAGTTTGGAAGAAAGAACTGAAATTGTAGTTTTATATGGGATTGCAAACAAAAACTATTCGCAGACGGCAGCATTATTTAACGAAAACCATCCAACAAAAATGTATCTGCTGTTTATATAATTAATCTAATACAAAAATTTTTTGAAACTGGATCGGTAAATAATAAAAAACGAGATATGAATAATCGTGGAGCACGAGATGAAGCAACGCAAGTTGCAGTTCTTGGTCACGTAAATTTAGACCCACAGCTTTCAGTTAGAAAATTATCAGAAGCTTCGGGAGTGGCAAAAACAACGTGCCATAAAATATTAAAATTAAATAAAATGCATCCTTATAAAATACAGCTTCATCAAGAGTTGTTAGACGATGACTTCGATAGAAGAGTCCAATTTTGTGAAACTATGACAGGCATGATTCGGCAAAATAGAAATATTTTGCGAAATATTTGTTTCAGTGACGAAAGTTGCTTTTCCTTAAACGGTTTCGTAAATAGACACAATTGTCGATACTGGAGCGATGTTAATCCCCACGTTTTCCGAGAAGGCCATACTCAACGTCCCCAAAAAATTAATGTATGGGCTGGAATTCTAAATAACCAAATAATTGGTCCAATTTTCTACCACGAGCATTTAACTGGGCCTAGATATCTCGAGTTTTTAGAAGAATTAATACATCCTCTTATCATTCAGTGCTTGGAAGAAAACTTAGATCAAATGCAGGAGGATCAGTTATACTTTCAGCAAGACGGAGCTCCCCCTCATTACTGTTTAGAAGTAAGGCAATATTTAAATACCGTTTTTCCAGGACAATGGATAGGTCGTAGGGATCCTATTGAATGGCCAGCTCGCTCCCCAGACTTGACCCCACTGGATTTCTTTTTATGGGGACATTTGAAGTCTGTTGTTTACAGGACACCACCACAATCCATCGATGATTTGCGTAATAGAATCATAGAGGAATGTAGAGATTTAACACCACATGTCTTTGAAAATATTCGGAACGCTTTCGATAATAGACTGTACTATTGTTTAAATGTAAACGGTGAACATTTTGAACATTTGATTTAACTAAAAAAATAAAAAGAGTCCTTACTTTAGTTTATAAAGCGAAATTTTATTGGTCTATAAGAATACCTATTTTTGTGATAAGTTGTATTTTTTTGTGATAAGTTGTATTTTTTTGTGATAAGTTATATTTTTTTGGATAATTAGATTTTTTTGTTTCTATCTGCTTTAATTATTTCGAAATTTGTCTACTGTCCAAGGTTACTAGTTCTTTTTTTTAATATCTGGTATCTGAACCTTTAGCTGTAAATATCTTTCAAAGTTCATTATGTAATTAAGTAATTTTTTCACATAGAGATACTAAAAAAACTACGCTCTTTCAGAATATGTAAAAAAAAATACAGAATGTCATTTAAACTTTTGAACCGGGGGTGGCTGCAGGCGGCAGATATCACGTTGGAGTGGTATCTTATACACCATTAATTTACCCCCTACTTCCTTAATGACCTTAATTAATTTCAAGTCGATATATTTTAAAACACCAGAAATAATTCCATTTAAAGTTTTCGCGCGGACACCCGGTATACATTTACACGTTTATTACTTTTATTTATGATGGGATCTAGAACATTACAAACCTACATTTTTGATATCATCTTTAGTTCATGAGATATACAAATTGTTTTCAATTGTTACCCTGCATAATCATCCAACAGGTATTTCTGTACAAACCTAATCATAATATGATTGACTGCAAGATGTAGGTATCACAAACTGTAAGATGTATTAAATTAGCAATTTCCAAATGGTGATTTGCGAATCCGCTGGGATTGTAATGATGAAAATGCAAATTCTAAAGAAAACAACAAAACTAAAACTTTCTCGGAATATGCTCGAAAGAACGAGAATAACGTCTGCTCATATAAAAACGGCGCAACAGCATAAGGAAAAGTAGAGTAGAACTGAATTTAAATACTAGTTTGTGCAACAAGAGTGGATATGGAAAAGCCACTCTAATTTTACAGTTACTTTTTTCTACGACCCACTAACAAAAATCTACAAATTTGAAAAACTATTTTAGTTTATTAAGACAAAATACCTCATTTTGAAAAAATTTATGAATTTTACTAATTTATAAAATAAAATAAACATGAAAAAAAAAAAGATTTCATTTAATTAGCTCCCAGCCCAGATTTGAACCAGGGATTTTCGCGTGGAAAGCAGACGCACTGTCCTCACCTCCTCCGCCACTTTTAGGATTTTAGTTTAAATACTCGTTATTAAATTAATTTCATACAGTTTACTTAAAATTTATTTATTTTTTCAAAATGTGGAGCAAATAAAAATAAAAATGCTATTATTTATTGATTTTACACAAAAATAATCTCATTTTAATGTGTATTTCTCAATAACTAAAAAATATAGTGACAGTTAGTTTGACAGAATTTTCACTTATTTAAAATTTTAAAAATAATAGTAATTGGTTGTCCAAAATATGAACTGTGATTGGTAGATTCCATTTTTTTGCAGTGTACTCACTACCTAGAATGGATATGAAACATATTCGTTCAGTTGAATGCAATACTGCTTTTTCTTTTTGTGGTCTGTGCGTAGATAATGTTATGCGAGGGCTGCTCCGACCCTGGATTTCTCCTTACAAGCCGCCGAGCTGTCTATAATTCCACTGTCGCTGCCCGCTTGATTCATGATCAAGATTAGACTCGAATGTTTTCTTTCGCAGTCTGACGCTTGGAGGATAATTTCCAGAACTTCTAGACTAACTGAGCTTTTAGTTAGAGTTGGATCTTTCTAGACTGTTACAATTTTATATATAAGTGAGTTCTTTCGCCGTTTAAGCTAAGTTTCAATATAATATTCAATATAAATGTTGTGAAGTAAAGATAAATAAATTAGAAGTGTGAATTATAATGATGCTTAGGTATTATAAATTAATTAATTAGTAATAGTCTAAATATATTAACTGTTTTATAAATTATTTTCAAATTAAACAATCGTTACAATAAGCTAATATCCATATGGTAGTAGAAAAATATAATTTAGTAGTTAATTATGATATCCTACGTCAAATATTAGTAGTGTAGGTAAAGCAATTCAGTAGTTTTTCTTTTATAAATAAATTTAAACAGGTAGTTTTATTGAAGTCTAACGAAAAGCTGGTCGAGTAATCAATTGTTTCTTCTAGTACCTGATTTGAAACCAATACAGGGTGGAAATATTAAAAGTTTTAGTGAACTATCGACTCGCTAGACACAAAATAATGAAAATAAATGAGGATAAGACAGTGACTATTTACAAATGGATTTTTATTTTACCAAGGAAAGCCAAACCTAAACCACCTTGTGTGATTTGTAATCAAGTATTGGACAACACCAGTTTAAAATCATAACTTCTTCGTAGACATCTTGAAACAAGACATCCGGCTCACAAAGATAAACATGTTAAGCATTTTAGGTAATAAAAAGTAGGTATAGATATTGGTTCTTCTTTTCTGTCAGATTTAAACGAAGATAGTAAAATGGCCCTCGAGGAATAATTTATAATTAGTAAGAGAATTAGTCTGGACAAGCACATACTAGTATAGAGGCATTTAATTGGACTGTCTCCCAAAGTGAATGCTTGAAAAAAAAACGTCAAAGAAAATATTGAATTTGTTGTCTTCAAACAACAAAGTGGTGCATAATATTGTTTTTTCTTTCAATTCAGTAAGAAAAAATAATTTGGACTGCCTGGTTTGCAAATAAACTTATTGTGGAGCAGGGACAGAAGTTGGGCAGGCTCACTTCATACACATGATTTAACAGGTTTGCCGTAGAGCTAAGTGAAGTGAACGCAATATATTGGCGTAGAAAATTATTTTATATTTGCTAATAACAATTTCGCGTAGTTTAATAAATTGCGAATAGCTTTTAAAGTTTTGTGGAATTATGATTTGGGGTATTAATACTTGTTTAAATAGTGATTTCTATCCCATTGTAGTATTCATACAATTTATAGATTTTTGTAATCTTTATTACTGACAACCGCTTTTTGATTAGTCATCAAAGTCGAAAATAATATCCTACAGGGTGAAATTAAAAAATAAGATATTGAAATCACTACACTACTCCCCCGTTTAAAAATAAGTATTTTGCAACAAAAATTGTAACTTTTCAACCAAAACGGATAACGTATTCCCCA